AAATCGTCTTTATCAACATACACAGTGGTTACTGTAATAATCATATTAGTTGGTAATATTATGCAAAAGATATTGGTTTTTTTAAATATGTAAAAAGCGAGAAATAAGACGAAACAAAAACAGAGAGGTTAAACAGCTGTATAAAATTGCAAATATACATCTCAAGGAAAGAACACTTTATCATATATCTTATCTTCTCTGAAATGATTTGGGAATCGACGATTCACAACGTATACTTCAACCAGTCTTCAATTTGAAAGGTGATATAAGACAGAGCTCAGTAGATTTTTAAAAAAACTTACTAAAATCATCCTAATTAAAGAAGAAAAATTTATAGTTGTCACAATTCTTTTTCGACTGTTTCTCGTCTCAGTCGAGGGTATCTAATGAGGTAAGGCAAACTATCGCAAGAAAAATTTCATTCGATCTTCCTCGGGTGAGAAAGAACAACTGAGCATGGTAAAAATAATGCAAAAAGAAATTTTGTCAACGACATCATATATATAGTCAACTTTTATCGAATAATAAAAGCAGTTTTAGGAAAATTTTCAGAATATAACAAACAGCAAACATTCAGTTTAAAAAAAAGTACCACGCGTACAATACTATGAAAGGCAGTGCATACTATATGCATCAATGAATAAAATGAATTAACAAATATAGCAAGAGTTTTCAATTGACTGTATTTGTTTCTATATATTTCATTATATGAACATTTTATATGCTACAATATATCTGCAACATGATCACTTCTTTCATAGTAATATTTCTTATTGATAAAAATATTTTAAGAGTAAAAACTCTTCTACTCTTGAATAGTTATGCTCCGTTTGTTCATATTACTACTCATGTGAAATATAGTATAGTCGTTCAGTAGCGTCATCTAGTAATGTCAACTATCTGACTAATTACGTCTCATCCACCAATCATTGAACAAAACAAGACGTTGTTGTTGCATCTTCTTGTTCTTTTTGTTTGTCTACGAAAGTTTGAAATAAACCTATTCGAGATGGATGATACTACCCGTTTAACAAATGATCAATCAATAAAATTATTTATTCAACGTGATTATTCTGAGGGTACTGCTGTAAAATTTCAAGAACGTTGTCCTAATGAACTTGCAGGGAAGGTAAATGATTTTTATTTTCTTCTAATTTATATTATTTCTTATTTTTTCGTTGATTCAGATTGATCCAAATGAATTTACTGAAATAATACGTGAAATAAATGCAATTTTTGCCGATGCAGAAACCTTATCATGTAAAACATTTATGGAAAATTGTTGTGCTTGTTTAACAGGTTATTTAATTTTACTTTGTATGCCTACACATTATGAAAAGGTAAAATTTTTTCAGAATGTTTGGTTTTTCATTTGAATATAAATGATCGTATTTAGTGTGTTAAACGTGCTGCTAAATATATTACAGAGAAAAATGACAATGTTCTTAATCCTCGGGGCATTTTCATGGTTGATCCAATGGAGAAAGGACTTCGATGCGTAAGTTAAAAACTTTAAATAGAATATGAATATTACAGTTTTCTCAAAAATGAAAATGATGAAGATCTTTATAGTACTGTAGAGTATTTGAAGTTCTAAACTAAATAATCATAAATAAAGTAATTTATTCGAACTATTGATATAATATTTATTAATTTAATATAAATAAATGTTTCTCACAGAAATTTCTATGAAACTTTCTGTTTATATTATTCAATTGAATAATCACGTATGAAGAGGGAACACTCTTTCGATGTATAGATATCAATAGTATTTCATCAGATTGTTACTGCAGATAATGAAAACGAAGCTCTAAATCAATAAGAATTAAAAAAATAATTTATTCGATTAGACTTTTCTCGCTTGATACTTTGGGTATTTCAATTTTGAATTGAAACTTTACATAGAAACAGTCCTAAACGAGAATAGTTTATTGTGAACGTTATAGATCTTGTCATTGTTCCTAATTTCAGATACATCCATGATAAAAGCCTGTCTTTTACATCGTTCATATAAACAAATTGCAACTTTCACAATAAAGCGTGCTCATTAGAGTCTAGCTCTTCAACAAAGTTTCAAATTTAAATTCGAAAATCAATTTTTCCTGTGTTCTTGAATGACGGTCCATAGTATTCATTCAGAAACTATTGCAAAAGTACTCTAAGCTAAGGACATGACTTTTCTCAAGGTACTCACAGTTGATTATATAATTGTAATAGGATTCAGAACATAAACTATTTAAATCTGTTAGAAAATGACTGTTCGAGATAACCAAACAGAAAAATCGTACCACGAAGTATTTTATGCATTCTGATGATAGTAAAGCTTGATTTGCTACATAAGACATTATGCTTTTTGGCATTGACAAATTTACATTGAAGCAATTTTCAAGTCAAACTGAAAAATACGTTTTTTATTTCTTCTTTATTACCTCAAATAAAGATTTTCTTCAAGTAAACAATTAATTGTCATTTAACATTTGACTAAAATTTTATTTTGATACATGTGTTGATTATTAATATTTAGATTGAAGTATGCATAGTCAATACTCGTCGATAATCAAAATCTGAAATATTTTAGGCAAATGTCTACATCGTAATATTTATGTGCTTATTTGTTGAACAGTGTATATGAACTTCTTTGTTCTCTCAATATACATATTTCAAATTTTTTTTTTCTTAGTGCATTAAAATAAAATATTGCTTTTATTTCTGTAAAAAAAAAAAAAATAAAACTGTTTTTGTCTTATTTATGCTTTAAGATTTAAATATAAATGAATGAACATCCTCGTTCTATATTACATAGAATTGAATTACGTCGTAGAAGTGAACGAGATAAATTTGGTTTTGCTATACAATATGAACAACCTTGTTCAATTTGTGTTTATTCAGGAAGTTTAGCTCAATCAAGTGGTCTTCGTTCAGGACAAATTTTAGCTAAAGTTAATGGTTATAATGTACTTGATGCAAGACATGATGATGTTAAAAGACTTGTTTACGCTAAACATACAAATCTACTTGTACTTGAAGTAAGAATTTGAACTATATCAAATATTTTATTTTCTTGAATAAAGAAAAAAAGATTCTTTTAGGTTCTCGATCCTGATGATGATATTGATGAAGATGATAGTATTGAATGTAAAGAAAATATTTTATCACCATCTCCTTGTCGTATAACATCTAAAATATCAGTAAATGATGCTCTTCATGGACGAATTCTTCGTGATGTCAACATCGGTTCATCATCAACAAACAATAAATATCCTATAAAACATTATTATAAAAAAGCTCGAGAATCTCTAACATCATCTTCTCAAGATTCTACAACAAGTATAACATCAGATCCAATAATTTCACATCATCAAAAATCTTTTCCTAATATAAATCGTCAACGTCTATCAAAAGTTTTAATTAGTACAAATCTTCGAATGTTATTATCACAAATAAATGATATTATTTTATTAAAAGATATGTATTCATCATTAACACCAGGTGTTAATCTTATTGATTCACAATCTTCATTATCATTTAATCATCAAACATTATATACATTTTCTTCAATTGATTTTCTTGGTTATTTTGATATTGATCATAATAATAATAATCAAAATGAATTAGTAAAAAAAATACAAAAATTTCTTAAACGTTCAATATTAAATTCAACATCAAATAAAATTGAATTTCGTATACAATGTAAACAATTTCAAATAAGTCCATTATGGTTTAAATTTTTAGCTGGAAAATATTTAAGTTATATTTGTTTATTTCATACTCAACCAACATTATTTGCACTTATACTTTATTGTTCAATTAGAATTGATGAAAATATTAATAAATTTAAATATGAACATAATTCAAGTTCAATGTTTGTTTTTCGTGCATCATCAATTGATGAAAGAAATCGAATAATACAATGTTTATTTACAAGAGCAAAACATTGTTCAAATCATCAATGTACTATGGAAGATAAGCATAAAAAAG